GAAGGGGCACACACTACAACTTAACAACACGAGGGATGGATACACTTCATGAAGCATTCAAAAGACAAGTACCATCCATAAAAATTATGTGTGTCAATTCAGAGAAGAATGGATTGGTTAATGGTGCAATTCCAACAAACTGCCAATGAACTCAGCCATGCTTCTCTCCCAGCTCCTTTGTGTGACAGAGGGAAAAGATTTTCACACCATCATCTTACCCCATTTGAAGAGCTGCTGATGGCCATGTATGGAGAGCTTCTCCATCAGCATTTCCAGGCAGAAACTGTCACTGCCTGTAGCAATATTGTGGGAGCAGCTGAGATTTTTTCCCTTTCAGCTGCTTTGCTAAGGAAGGCAATGTATGCAATAATGCCTGTCACTCCACCCTGGCCTGATTTCTAACTGCTGGATGTGAGAGAGACTCACTGTGACTGTGCTGGGGAAGCAGCTCTGTGAGCTGAATTTTATTAAAAAACCCAAACAACATCAACAAACCCCAAAGCAGAATGGTTCACACAATCTAAAAGGCAGATTGATCTTACAGATGAATTAATATTACTGGTCTTGGAGTGATGCTGGTGCCAAACAAAGCTAAGACAAACCCCTGTTCAAGACAAGGGAGTTTGTGCCATTGCACTGGGAGTTGTTGCTTATTTCACCTGATATTTCAATCTCAATCCTTTGGTTTGTGCTGTCACAGCTGATCACTAATGAAGATATGGCATAGAATACAGAACAAGAAGCACTCTTGAAAATATTTCAAGAGTGAGGCACAAAGGGTGAAGAAGCCTCTCTCTCAAATCAGACAGAGTGTCTGCAGAATGTCCATGTTTTGTCTCTAGGTATTTTACTTCTCTGTTTCAGCTGTGCCTTGAGTGTCTCCAATTCCCTTGAGTTTATAAACTGGGAAGCCAATGGTAGGCAGCAAAACAATTCCCAGCTAAAGGATGTGTAGTCAGAGGCAGGCAGGCTCTGCCATCACTCCCTACAGCCCTCACCAAAGCCCTCTCATAATCCCCCTCTCCAGATCCAGCAGCCTGCATATTCCAAAGCTCTTCTAAAACACAGGCTAGGTCTCTCAATATTGGGATGCAAGTGTAAAAGACAGAAAGATAAAAAACCCCAGGGGAGGGTTTCATTCATTCACTCACCAGAAGTGGGCTGGCCATCTGTCAGCAGAATAACCATGGAGATGCTGTGCTCCGGCAGCCCCTGGGCTCTGTCCAGCACGCCCACGGCAGAGAGCAGGGCACCATTGATGTCTGTGCCTGCAGAGAGACAGCAGGCACGGCTCACCCCAACAGCACAATCGGCTGCAGCACTGCTGCCCTTCATCTGCACAGCCCCTGCACACTTGTTCAAAGTTTTCTGCACGAAGTAATCCTTCCAAGACAGGAGGATTTAGGGACTTAGCCTACTGGACTTAATTACCGGGTGTTAAATTGCAAGGCAGTGCCAGAGTATTCTTTTGGGAGCATTTTCCACACATATGTCATGGGAAATACAAACATGTCTAGAGCCATTAAAAAGTGCTTAAGTAAACACACTGTCAACTGTTAACCTATATTTAAGAAAAGTTTCCCTGCCTTATATAAGAAGTCAGAGAAAAGAGCTGAGCATGGTGGGTTTATTGGTGTTAGCTCCTGGGGTAGGAAACTTCTGTTAATACTGACAGAGTAACATTAAAGGGAGACAGAGCCCTTGAGATGTGCTTAAAACTAAACAATAACACCAAGCACACTGACTGGTGCACCAACTGAAATGCCACATATCTGTTTTGCCTGTTTTATTTCTGTGGCATGGCTTACAAAGGAGTATAACTTTGAATGTGGTTTTTTTGTTTGTTTTTACAACTGGACACTTGATATAAAAAGAAAAAAAAGGTCAGCAAATTACTGTCAAATGTTGAGTGAATTGCCATTTTTCTGTAAAAAAAAAAGTGCTACCAAGGAATCTTCTAATTGTCTCTGTGATAAAATAGGAAACAAAACTTTGTGGCTTGTATGGTTCATAGATGTGCTGTAAGCATCTCTCATATATTATATAACTATATCTATCTCATAATATAGTCACGGTCTGTCCACTTACAGGCTTTCTTTCCCACTCATCACTTAAAAGTCTTAAAAACTTACTTGCTTTCTAAGCACTGGTGATAGCTCTGGAGCACTATATAACTAATAAAATAATTATTTTCTAAGCAGTTAATTCCACTGGGTGCACATTTGTGGCTACAAGCACGTGTACCTCCCCTGGCAGCGAGAGTCTGCACGAAAGCTGCAGCACTGGCCACGTTCTCCTCAGTGGCTGGCAGCAAAGAGCTCTTCCACTCTGCCACTTTGTTGTTGAAGGTGATAAAGCTGAAATGATCTTCTGGGCGGAGGTCCTGCAAAATCTTCAACAGGGCATCCCTTGTCTGTTCCAAGGAGAAAACCATGATTTTGATTATTTCCGTTTCTTTGCCAGAACTGGGGTTGAAATTGCAGTGTATTAAGGGGGTTCTCTACAGCTCTGCTCCAGATGCAGCCCAATGTCTTTGTTAAAACCTAAAGCTAAGTTTCAGGTTGGGACCATTAGAAATAGACAATACAGACACAAAATCCAACCAATGAGGGCTGTAGGGGGCTTGTCTGCTCTCAAGCAGAGCTACATACACAGTCATCAATAAGCATAAAACAGATAACAGATAAATTAACTCTCTAAGCTTCATTAAAGAAGAACATAAACACAAAAAAGTTCTGCAAAGATGCAGAAAGCTCTCTCTGCCTCAGTGCTTAGTACCCATGAAAATAGTTGTGTCAGACAAGAGTTACTCTTTAATAACTTCAATCTGTGCACATATGTATTTTCAAGCATTTCTATAAGTCTGAACATTTTGCTGTGTACAAAACCAGAGTGGGTCTCAAATTAGAAGTTCCAGTTGCTTCCTCAGAAGGCTGGGGTGTGTGTGGCTGCTGCTAACAGAGGTCATGCTCTGAGGGAAGTTACCTGTTCAATTTTTCTGCCTGTCATGGAGCCACTTCGGTCTATGACAAAGATGACATTTTTGGGAAACACTGGCATTTCTTGGGGTGCAAAGTAGTGGACAAAATATCCATTGACAATCTGAAATAGAGAATGTGAAATCATCTCTAAAAGTACATCTAAAGAAATAAAGATGAAATCTTAACATTCTGGCATAGCAAGAAGTGGAGAGCATGTTCAGCATTCTGCTCTTCTCGATAAGCCCAAATCAAAGAGCTTAAATTAAAGAAAGTAAAATGTATTTCCTAGCTGGAAGCAAGACTGTCTGTAGATAGAAAATTACCAGAGAGCAGCATGCATACATACATATGTATTAGACACCTCAGTGCCATATGTATGATATATGCATATTATCACTGTGTATCATATTACCTCTTTATCATTACCTATGACTACATCTTTGCTGAATGACTGTGGCTGCCACCTTTTAGCACATCAGTGCATACTTCATCAGTGAAATGACATGGAAAATACTCTATTTTATTCCCTAGAATATGCATTGCTTCATAAATATTTGTTAAGTTCCTGCTGTATCTAGTTATGCCTCAGTTATCACAGAGACCAAGCATCATTTTAAGTTATAAAATCACATTCTTCTAAACTTCATTTACAAGAAGCCACAAATACACTTTGGAGGAGCCAAAATTATAATAAAAAAGAGTGTAAAGAGACATCTATGAAATACCAATATAGATTTGGTATTTGAATAAAATTTGAAAGATTGATTTTTTTTTTCCTGAGCGATCTGTGTTTGCAGTTAGCTGGTGTCTCTGGGGATTTACTGAGTATCACCCTCAGTTCTTGCTGACCTTGGATTAATGGGAAGAGTTTTTCCTGTCATTCTTCGTATTTCAAAGCAAATGTTGCTGTTTTGCTGATTGCACTTCACATTCGAACTTATCTGTGATCTGTAAGCATTTTCATTTATTTTTTTTTACCTGTATATCCCCTGCAGTGGCTTCTCTCTTAACATCATAACGCACAACAAAATCACCATTGAGAAGCGTTTCATCAAGCTCAGAATTTTTCTTCTGTTGATCTAGAGCTGGCTTAAATGAAATATGAGCCTGCAAAGCAATCAGAAGGAAATATTTAAAGCAATATAAGTTAGAGCTGCCGCTGGCAGTAACCTCTGGCAGCTGCTGCTTTACCTTGGTTTCGTTCACCTCTTTGGTGAGCGCCTCACTTAACTCGTTTGTCATGAAGGTGCTGTCTGTCTCCAGGAAGCGAATGCCCTGGGGCTCGAAGATGTGCACATGGATCTGGCAGCAGAGGAGTCAGCATCAGTGTCTCAGAGGGAGCACGGCTGGGCTAAAGCCACGGCTGCTCCCTGCCCAGCTCACCTGGAAGTGCTGGACGAGCTGCTTGGGCCGGACCTTGAGGAGCAGCTCGTACTTCCCCAGCTGCCGCTTCAGCAGCTCCTCGTAGGTCAGCTCAAAAGTGACTTTGCTGGCAGCTGCGATGCTGACAGACACGTGGAACTGCTCCAGCTTCCTGTCTGTGATTCTGGGGGAAGAATGGGGGTTTATCTCCTGCAGGGAAGGTTGGTGCCCAGGAGTTTGTGAAGTGTGCAAAATAAAGGCCAAGGGGCCACATGGGATTAAAAAAAAAGTAGCAGTAAACATTGTTCATCACAGAGAGGATTTTTTACATTGCAGGTGCTATTATGTACACCACATATATTGCATTAATGTGTCATGGGTGCAAGCTGAGAAATGGAGCAGAAACCCCTGCATTCCTCAGATTGAATACCTGTGAAGCACAGATTAAATGCAGCCTGAAACTGTGATATCTGTTCAAGGCCATGGTCCTTTGTGCTTGCCAGGACACAGACTCAGCACTGAGCATCATCCCAGCATGGCAAGGTGCTCTCGAATGATGGGAAGCCAGGCTGGATGGAGCTCTGAGCAACCTGAAAGGTGTCCCTGCCCATGCAGGGGGCTTGGAACTAGATGATCTTTAAGGATCCTTGACTCTGAGATTAGCTCAGTTGGTCAGAGCATGGTGCTAGTAACACCATGGTTGTTGGTTCAATCCCTCTATGGACCATTCACTTGAGAGTTGGACTTGATGGTCCCTGTAGACCCCTTTCAAGGACATTCTGTGATCTGTGATACAGTGATTCTGTGACAGCAAGTCCCAAGGCACTGCTAAACAGGGATGCTTCCTACTAGAGCCTATTGCAGGACCATCTATAAATCATACATATATGAATATATATATATATATATATAAAAAATACTATTTAAAAAAAATATATATATATATTCAAAGACACCCTATCCCTCCCACCAAGAACCCAAGACTGATTTTCACATTTGTCCCCACTGAGATGTGGCTGTCTCCAGGATTTCATGTGCCTCCAGCCAGCCAAACAGGAAGCCAAGGAGGGGTGTTGGAGCAGCCTTACTCAGAATAGCAACGTACTTGACGAGGCCAGCGCTCTGTCCCTGTGAGACTGCTGTGTTGTACTCATTCTGAGCAGCAGCTTTCTCCTTTATTATTCCTGGGTATATTTCACCATCGATGGACCTGTTTGGTTTCCATAAAAATTAATTAGTATTAGAAGGAATGCACTGGGGAAAGGAACTGAAGATTTTTGTGGCTCTCTGAGCATGAGCAAGGGACTCTGTTTCCTTTCAAATCCCTCCCCACCCAGGAAGATGCAAGGGGCCACCACCACAACACAACCTTTGTCCTTGTAGAGTCTTGAGGAGGGTGCAGCAGGAAAAACACCACCACTGAGCACATCTGTCACCCACCCTGTGCAGCAGGCAGCCTGGCCCTGGACACCTCTTTCCTATTTGGCTGCCTACTACTTAGCCCCGCAGAGCATTTTTTGCAGAGGACCCTCTTTGTGCTCTCTGCCCAGCAGCTCCTGAGCAGAAGATGAACCCCCTCAGAGCTGCCTCCTTCACATGGCAGGTGAGGACTGCTCCTACATGGAGAAGTTGGTGATGAAGGCTGTCTTAGGTAGCTCCACTTCAAAGGTGGCCTCTCGGGACTCATTGGCTCGGTTGACAATTCTGCTGGTGATGACAGTGTGAGCAAATCTTGATGTGACTTTGCAGTCCACACGGAGGCTGTAGATATCAATAGCAGGCTGGGGAAAAAATAAACAAACTGGGTGAGACAGAAGCACCCAGGTTTTGCTCCCAAGCAGTCCTTACTTGGATGATGCTGTTGGAAAAGTTTGATGAAAGAATGAATTGTTAGAAAGCCTGGCTGGAACTGGGGAGGGCATTGTTCTGAACCAGTCTGCTTATTCCCATCTCTGCAACCTCAAACACTGACCCATGCAAAACCTGCAGCTACATCTGCATTTTGCTGTTCCACAGAAGCTTCTGTTGGACCTTTTTCTCTCCTTGGGTTACAGTGAAGCTGCTGCTGCATCACCCCAGTCATTGCCCAAGATTTTCCTCAGGAAGATCAGAAGCCTCTTTAAGTCTGAACCAGGGAAGGGCCCCGTTTTTTGTGTGACTGTTTATTTGCTCTCCCAGTTGTTGACTTTTCTCCCTGTTTTCCAACTTGGTACCTTGTGTCCCACAGGATGTTTAGCAGGTTTCAAACCCTGCATGGGCCTCTCACTGGTTGCACAAGCAGAGATGCCCTTTGAGCACTCATGTTTCTCCTGGTCTGGTTCTTCCAGGGCCCCTGATGCCCAAAGGAGGAGGGCACCACTCTGGAGCTGCCTGGAGCACCCCAGAGGGTGGCTGGACTAAGAACTTCCTGGAGCACGTGCCTACATGGACACCTCCTTTTTCATTTGGGATGTCTCTCAACAGGTCCTACACGTGTTTCAGCAGTGGCACTAGAGAAAGGCTGATCTGGGCATCACCAGCCTCACAACAGTCCAATAGCTGATTAAAATAAAAAAGCTCAGCAACAGAGCATATCACTGCACTTCTGTTTTTACTTTTCCAGCCTCCAAGTCTTTTGAATGGCTAATTGATCTTTAGCTATTTTGATAATTAATCTCCTGTACTTTGCTTGCCAATTAATAGCATCCAGTGGCCTCTTGTCTGTTAGGACACTGGCTGAAATTGAAAGTTTGCTGCCCTGCCATACTCAAACCTGCCCATAGCACATTCAGAGCAAGGTTTGCCATAAGGAACACCAAGCCCCAAGCTGTGGCTCACTGGGGCAGTGGTGGCCATTGCTGCCCACTGAGGAACCTTCCAACACAGGAGCTTGTCCTGTGCAAAATTTCCTTGGTGCAGAATCCACTCTGCTGCCAAGTGCCCAAGGGATGCTGCAGGGAGCAGGACCTGCATCTCCTGCACTCACTCAGCCCCAGCAGCATTTTAGGCTGTGGCCAGCACAAACCAGGGGTCAGTGGGATGCAGCACAGGGAGAAGCTTTGCTGTGCCCCTGGTGAAAGAAGCAGAGAGGACCAGACCTAGGCAGGTACCCAAGGGCAAAGGCCCTGTGGGCCCTTACACCCCATCCATGGCTTCCTGCAGAGCTCTTGGCTGCTCCTGAAGCAGCCACAAGGCTTGGCCCTGCCCCCCAACACCTGCCTGCATTTCAGTTGCACTTGACACTTTTCTGAATAGGCACAATGGACAGAGAAACCGTCTGACTTAGAGCTTCCTCTTCCTCTCCCTCTCTGATATTGATGTTTTTACAATGCCACCAGTCACCACTGTGATGGTACAAAAGAGAGTTTTATCGTCCAGACAGTGCAAATAACTTTCTACTTTCCTCTTTTCCATTCCATATTTATTATTAAACACTCATTAGAAACCTCCTGGCACTGCACAGTGCTTGCTTGGTCCTGTGTCAAGATCCAAACCTCATCTGCCAAGGCAGAGCTACTGATCTCCCAAATTTGATCTCTTACATCCTGAAGGAAGAGCAAGACCAAGCACATCTGCAAATGCTTCTTGCTATGTTTGTACTATAACAGCCCAAACAAACAACCAAAAAGACCTTAAAAAGACCCAAAACTCTAAAATCTCAACACAATCCAAAGCTCCCCAGGCAGTAACTACCAGAGGAGTTACCTGCACTTCCTGGCCAGTTACCATGATACCACCGCATCACCAAATGAGCAAATGAGATATTGATAATAAAAATAGAGTAAATACCTTCTGATCAATAGTTTCTGCTAACACTATGAGCGAGGAAAAGACCATCAATGCAAGCAATGTTCTCTGCTCCATTTTGGAAAAAACAAATTTTCAAATGAAATCTCTGTTTATCTTAATCAGTTAATGAGTAACTTCTACTTGGGGATATCATGTAGACTTTGAAGAGACACGGAAATTTAATATTTACCCATTAAACATAGGTAAAACTCAAATTGGTTAATGCTTATTTTTCCAACAGATCTTTGCTCTTAAACATTAGAATTTTAATGTTTCATAACACATAAAATTAAGAACTCTCTCTATATTTTTTTAAAATTAGATTTCACTGTGTCATGTGAAATCCCTTGGGCAGATGACTTGGTCTGTGCAACAAGCTGCAGGAATCTCTACCATATCCCACAGAAATAATTTGAAAGGGCATATCTTTAACATTATCACAAGCACTTCAGAGATTTGGAGATTGCCGGGACAGGCAACATTCACATGAGATATTACAGCTGATGGCTTTCTCAACCTTTGTGCCTCCCTGCCCAACAGGCCATCATCCTCAGTAGGTAATGCCATTCATTGTCATAAATTAACACAGAGATCCTGTGGAAATATAAGCAGCTGTGTTTTCTCCATGCCTGTTTTACAAAGTGTCCATGTGGAGAGCAAGCTTCTAGTTGCAAGGAGACACAAAAGCAGAGCTCAATAATTCATTACTTACCAGACATCTACAAGTTCACTACAAAGAATGTGCTAAGCACAGCCTGGTCTTACAAAGCTTGTGCTTTAAGTAAGTCTTTTAAAAAATAAACTTTATTCCTCTGTCTCTTTTTGAGAGATAAATGTCTACTAAGGAAGGCAGGAGTCTCCCTTGAAAAGGCAGATGTAAACTCCTTCCCTTCAAATTATTATAATTTTGAAATTAAGGAGCTCTCAGGCAAAGATATGGGAATAGGAATGACAGTTCTTTACTAGTATGTGTAAATATAAAAAAAACAATCAACCAACCAAACTACAACTTAATAGGAAAATTAAAATAAAATGCAGTAGTACAAAAACACTGACAGAGTCAGAATACAACCTCACACCCTGTCAGTCAGTCAGGGTGTTGGTAGCAGTCCCATTAAATGGTGGCTGCATCCTCCTGCAGTGACAGATGTGGTTCTGTTGAAGCAGTGGTCCTGTAGAAGGATGCAGTTTTCCTCTGAAGGTCCAGTGGTGGTGTGCATGGGCCTGGTCTTCCTCTGGAATCCAGTGGAAAGGGCTGCCTTGGTGTTCCAAATCTCAGATTTTATCTGGGTAGGAAATGCTTGGCTCCTCCCCCTGGGTGGAGCATCTCCCAATGGGATGATGTGATTTTATCAGTCATGCAGTGGGACTCAATGGCTCATTAACAGAAGATACCTCCCTGGATGTAGGGTGGGTCATGGAAAAGATAAAGAACACTGCTCTACCTGGTTTTAACAGATGGTGCTAGAATATATACTTTTGGTCACATCCTGAAACCCAAGACATCCTCTCAGGCAGACTGTTTATACTACTTGCAAATACCATATCCTTTATAGCAGGACACACATATATATATATGTATATATATATCTCAAAAGGCAAAAAATTAAACTACTATACATTCTATTAACTTGTACAACTCGTGTAATGCTTTAATCCCTTAAAATACACAGGATTAGACTCTCAGTGGTGTAAGAGCTGCTGGAGCTAAAGCTTTAATTAAGTGGATCTGTCATCAGTTTTCTAATGCCCATATGTAAAATCACATGGATGTTAAAGAGCTGTTTTTGCTGCACAGATTTAGGCTGCAGTGTCAGCTCTGCCCCTTACATTTTTTAGATGAGGTCCACATTAAAAGACAGGAAGACCAAAAAAGATGCCCAGTCCTTATTGCCACACTTGGAAGCAGCACAAGCAATTGACAACATCCTGGAAACAGAGCTGTTTGCCAAACACCAC